CTCAGCTGATGTGAACACCTTTTCTTTTCCAAATTCATAGAAATGCTGGTTAAATATGTTACAAAAAAAAAAAAAAAAAAAACCAAAAAAAACACCAAACTTGAAAAAAGAAAGGGAGAGTCACAGGGAACAGAAGCAGAAAGAAAAGTTCAGAGCCAGAGTTACAATCTCACACCTGTGGCCAGTAGGGGATTAGATCTAGTTCAAGACTCCTAGGGCTGAGGTTTTCTATGTGGGAGGATGACTTTGGGCCCCACAAGGCAGAGGACTGGAACCAACACCCAGCATCATGGGTTCTAGAGGGACTGCCTCCTTCATAAAACAGGGATTAGAAAAACTCCTCCCACTGGCAAAGGGAAATGGCAAAAAGAGTCACTTATCTGAGGCTCTGGGTGGAGCATTAAAGACTTTTTTTCATGAGAAATCAAATACTGCGGCATGTGCCACACTGATGAGGGTACCAAATATATAAACTCCGCATGGTGCAGAAATTTAAGCTAATAAATCCATGTAAAAATTAATGCTGGCAGAATTAAACACAAACAGCTCTGTATTGAATTTCCACATTCACAAAAGGAACAAACATTTAATGAAAGTGAGTGCATAGTGTTTGCCATTGAGGGAGAATCAACAAAACAAAAACCATGAGAATCAATGTTCCAAGAAGTCAAATTAATAGAAAAAATATAAACAAAACCATAAAGTAAATACAATTAAAAGCTTTAAAAGAAAAAGCAGTAGAAGCCATAATGAAAGAACAAGATATCATGAAAAAATAATTGTGAAAAAGAACCAAACAGAAATTCTAGAAGTTAAAATTTTAGCTGTCAAAATTAAATACTCAACGGGTATGCTGAACAGCAGATTTAGCTAAAGAGAAAGATGGTGAACTGGAAGACAGCTCTGAGGAAATTAACCAGGATACAATCAAAAAGATTAAGAAAATGAAAACATGAAATAAAAGTCAAGATACATGAAGGACAGGATAAGAAGATCCAACACATGTTCAACAAAAGTGGCTGCAGGAGAGATTACAGAAATGGGGCAGCAGATCCTGCTGGGTGCCTACCTAGCAGCCATTGTCATTGTTCTCCCTTACTGGCAGACCTCTGACTTTGGTTTGGTGTCCAGTCCTCCTCCCAGTGACACAGAGAAGGCTGATCCAAT